GGAGAAAGCCGTAGAGATGGTGAGGCAGTCTGAGCAGATTAAGGGGCAAGTTCACCAGGAAGCTAAGGCTGACACGTGAGATGGAACATTTCTGAGTGAGTTCACACATTCTTGTGCCTGTGACTGCAGGGATGCAGCAGCTTTGAGTGAGGTTAGACACAATGTGCACACTGTGCCTTCCCAACAACACAGAGGAAGCGAGAGGGTGCGGGGCGGCGGCGGGCGCCAGGGCAACACAACGGCAGCGCTGCAGAATCTAAATGCTTCAGGTGCGGACGGGACTACAGGAGCAATACACTGTGTGCAGCCAGGCAAGCAAAATGCAGAAATTGCCATAAAACTGGACCCTTTGCTGCCGTGTGCCGCTCCACAACAATAAACAAAATACAAGAGGATGAAAATGACAATGAGGGGCACTTGCTGGGTGAGAAAAAAACAACACATCTTTATGAAACTGATTCTAATAAGCCATGGACTCTCCAACTAAACATCTGCAGTACCTCTGTCAGCTTCAAAATTGATACTGGTGCAGATGCCAGTGTAATTTCAGACGACACCTGTCATCGCCTCAGCAGCTCGTCCCAACTGTCAAGCGCCCGCATAGTTTTCGACAGCCCTGGTGGAAGGCTCGACTGTCTAGGACTGTTCACTGCCACTACAAAATACAAAGGGTAGAGTGATGGGTTCAACATCCACGTTATGAAAACAACTAGCAGCAACTTATTAGGCTGTGATGTTGCTGTGGCGATGGGACTGGTGAGGAAAATGGAAGAGGTGAGAAGCACGTTCGGGACGGATCTAGGCCTCTTAAAAATAAAACCTTTGAAAATACATCCGCGGGACGACGCTGTCCCATACAGTGTCAGCACAGCAGGGAATGTCTGCCCCCCTTCTTTCCAAAATCAAGGTTGAGCTTGACAGGATGCTGAAATGCAATGTCATAGAAGAAATAGACTCAACAGAGTGGTGTGCTCCCATATTTCCAGTCCCTAAGAAAAATGGTGAGGTAAGTATTTGTGTTGACCTGAAGAGACTGAACATGGCGATGAAGAGGGAATGATTTTTCCTACCCACCATAGATTATATATTGCCGAGGCTAGCAGAGTCTAGAGTATTTTCTCTACTGGATGCAGCAAGCGGCTTCTGGCAAATCCCACTTGAGAGAAGGACAGCTAAACTAACCACGTTCATTACCCCAGCGGGTAGGTTCTTTTTCAATCGACTGCCCTTTGGAATCTCCAGTGCGCCAGAAATTTTCCAGAGGAAAATGTCTGTGCTGTTCAGAGACCAGGAGGGAGTGGAAGTGTACATGGACGACATCCTCGTCCATGGCAGAGATGATAAAGAACACGAAGAGAGACTCCAACATGCTCTGGGCGTCCTGGAAAGTGCAGGCCTAAAACTGAATAATGAGAAATGTTTCCTGAGACAAAGACAGCTGAGCTATTTGGGGCATCAAATCTGCGGTGATGGCATTCAGCCTGATCCCTCTAAAGTAAGTGCCATCACAGAGCTACAGCCCCCAACTGATGTGCCTGGCATGAGGAAGTTACTGGTCATGGTTCATTACCTTGGACGCTTCCTGCCCAACTTATCTGAAGTGATAAAGCCACTGAATGACCTGCTGAGGAGTGAAGCAGCGTGGACCTGGGACACAGCACAAGATTACGCATTCAACAAGGTAAAACAACAAATTTCCACCGCACCTTCACTAGCGTTCAATGACGTAACTAAACCAACTGTGGTCAGTGCAGACACGAGCAGCTATGGGCTAGGTGGGGTACTGTTACAGAGACACTCAGATGGACTGAAACCAATAGCTTTCTGTTCAAGATCATTCACTGAAGCTGAGATGCGCTATGCTCAAATAGAAAAAGAATGTCTGGCTGTAGCTTGGTCCTGCGAGAGATTTTCCATTTAGCTATATGGCCTGAACAACTTTACGGTCCATACAGACCACAAACCGCTGATCCCCCTAATTAACAACAAAGATCTTGATAGGGTTCCCTTGAGGGGCCAGCGGTTGCTGATGCGGATGATGAAGTATAACCCCATCGCAGAGTATGTGCCGGGGAAAACACTAACAGTAGCTGACATGCTTTCCAGACATCCATTACCCGCAATAACAAGTGAAGTGTCTGAGCTATCGTATGATGTTTCAGTATTTGAAGATGCAGCTCAAGCGGCATGGCCAATGTCACCTTCCAAACTGGAACGGATCAAGCAGGAGACAAGTGTGGATTATGGCCTGCAGTTGGTGAACAGGCTGATCTTTTAGGGATGGCCAACATATGTGGGGAGCGTACCCGCACAAGCTAAAGCCTATCACCACTGCAGTATCAGCCTGTTGTCATCAAAGGGTCTTGTGCTGTATGGAGACCGCATTGTGATTCCCCAAAGTTTGAGAAAAGAGATCCTTCACTGGTTACTGTACATGATGGGCACCAAGGCATCACCAAGTGCAAGGAACGAGCACGCCTGAGTGTGTGGTGGCCCTGACTAGAAAAAGATATCCAGGAACTAGTGATGAAATGTCTGGAGTGCATGAGAGTCACACCTACACAACGGAAGGAGCCTCTGATTACAACACCACTACCACAGAGGCCCTGGCAATCGATAGGTGCGGACATCTGTGAGTATGAAAAAGAACATTACTCGGTAGTTGTGGACTTTTATTCTCTATAGAGTTGGCTCATCTACCAGACATGAAGAGTGAGACCGTATGCTCCCACCTGAAAAACGTTTGCTAGGTGGGGTTGTCCAGATGAACTCACCACTGACAATGCTACAAAGTTTACGAGCAAAGAGTTTGACAGTTCTTCTGTAGCCTACGATTTTAGGCACATCACCTCCAGCCCCCGCCATCCTCAGGCCAATAGTGGGGCTGAGAGAGCTGTTCAGACTGCAAAGAGGATTCTCCGGCAGGACGACCCGTTTTTGGCTCTCATGGTCTACAGAGCCACGTCAGTACAAGCCACAGGCGCCAGTCCTGCCCAGCTGATGATGGGTCGTCAGATCAAGACGACTATACCTACAATCGATAAGGTTCTGCTGCCTAAGTGGCCCAACTTTGCAAAGGTGCGTGCAGCCGATGCCAAGTCGAAAAGGAGCTACGAACGTGCCTACAACCGAAGCTACGGTGCCAGAACACTCCCACCACTTACACCCGGGCAGAATGTGGCGGTGAAACTTGATGGCAATTCTGGCTGGACATCTGTGGCAACGGTCCAACAACCACATCCAGCTCCTACCTGATCCAGACAGAACATGGGGCACTGCAGACGAACAGGCGTCACCTACAACCAATATTCCTTCCTGGTGTGGCAGATCAGCCACCACCACCACCATCGTCAACACCCCAACCTACACCTTTAGGCTCCCCTGTTAGAGAGGCTGTTTCACCTACTGAAGAGTCTGTTTCTCCTGCCCACGGGACTGTCCCAGCCGAACCTTCTGATCGTCCTCCGGGATCAGCTCGCATGTATTTTACAGGCAGAGTCATCTGGCCCCCCGGAGGCTCAAGGACTTTGTTTGTTATTGAACTGTATAAATGGAGCAGAATAACCTCTGGCCGCTATAAGGGTGTTTGGGTAGTCTACCCCATCACCCCAACGACACGCGTGTATGTTTGGGTTGTGTCCTGTTGCCTCCATCCTTTTGAAAATAAAAAAATAATGAAAAAAGGATGGTGATCGTCTGCAACCGTTGTGATTGACTCTTTGGTTAAAAGCATCCACGTTATGTTTCTACTGTCGGTTGCAGTTACAGACGGTTCTACTGCTTTGAAAAAACAAAAAAACAAAAAGGAAGATGCACTTTGTTCTTCCCTATACTCTGTTTACATTGTCTCTGACTCAAAGGACGGGAGATGTCATGTGAATAGATATGCAGTGTGTATGCCTTTAAGATTGGCCTGGGGGGAGGAGTTTTAGGAGGGAGTTCCGGTTGGAAAATAAAGAAAACACCTCTCGAGCTGAAGGGAATTTAGTCATTTATTACGCTGGTCATACTTAGAACAGTAAGTAACAGATCTAGAGAACCTCCATGGAGCTTTCTGTTTGCCAGAGATAAGTTTGAGTTTTTCAGGAATAAGTCATCTTTGAGACGCATTATGAAAAGAAAAACAAAGTTATTTCCTGTACTAGAAAGCTCTTTAACCTCAGGGCCAGTTTATAGGTGTAGTTAAGGCATATTGAAACACAGCTAATTATATATTTTATTAATTTGTGTTAATTGTGTTTTTATTTATGCTGTGATCAGTTCTGGTAGAAATATTGTGACCTTCTAGGTGAAATTTGAGCTAACTGGACTGAAGATTATGTTTAAAGAACATCAGTTTTAGTATGGTAGTGACACCCTTCAGATCAGAAATGATCAGAATCTGTCAGGAAACCCATCTAAGAGATCTAATTTAATTCTTCAACATAACTATTGCTAGAATTGTGTTTCCTGAAATACATTTTCCCATAAAGAAAATCTATAATCCTTTTAAACAGAATATGCCAGCTTAATTTTGCCCTGATATATATTTTCACAAAATACATATTATTCTCTTTTGAGTCTGATTTCAAATTAGAAGGAAAAAGTCCTGTACACAGTTTTGTTTTATTTTACTTTTCTATAGCAGCTTTCAATAGATCTCTTTTACCACCCTCAACATAAAAATTACAAACACTTAAGTGCTTTTATTCATCCAAGAACAATGCAGCTTTTACCGGTTTTGGCCTTTTAGAACTGCATGTGTTGCAACTATCAGTATTGTTTTTGGTTTCATTATTTTATGACTCAGTTCAACTGGGAAGAAAAACTATTTACAGAACCATTACATTTGGAATCTGATTTATCCTTTTCTAATGTTCAAATCTGCATGTGTTGCATTTATGTACAGCTTGAAACTATTGTTAAATAACAATACTTCTCTAGTAATAATAATAATATATTGCTTATGTCTAAAAACAGGTTCTGGATGTTTTTTTTCTCTTTTTATTTTCTTTCATCAGGAAAATCAAGACCAACTATTTCATCGTGTCCCTGGCGTTTGCTGACCTGCTCGTGTCAGTGCTGGTAATGCCTTTTGGTACCATCGAGCTGGTCTACGAGAACTGGATCTACGGTGAAACGTTCTGTCTGGTTCGGACGTCGTTAGATGTTCTGCTGACCACTGCTTCTATACTTCACCTGTGCTGCATCGCTCTGGACAGGTGAGACTAATGGGTGAGCTTTGGACTTGTATGCACATACTTGTTTTAGCTTTTCTCTTTCTCATCCACTTGTGCTGGTCAGTGCTTAACTAGTTTTATTTGCAGATTGTGAGGATGAGATGTCATTCATTGAAGGACTTAGGTAGGGGTTGATTCACACATAGGTCAAATGCATGCACAGTTAAAAAAAATTGTTCAAAGACAGACAGCAGCTTTTGTGGAGTTCAATGCTCACGAGAAATAAATTACATAACAAACCATATGAAAGTTCAGTTGAAACTCAGATTAGCTGCAAAAGAGAGGGAAAAAGCTGCAGTCATCTGTGAAGACATTGGTTTATTAGGTAAAAATTAAACAAACAAACAAATAACAAATAAATAAATAAACACTGATTACGTTTCATCTGGGCCAAAATATGGATAGGACATCTAAAGATAAAAGCTCAATGTAGCTAATAAAAACTACTATACAAGCAGCACTTTTGATGCTTAATCAGTACATTTGCAGTGCTATCTAGTAGGAGTGAATGCCTTGTAAGTCATACTAGCACGGAAAAAATGTACCGGTGCACCATTAGCAGGAACCACCAGTATCCCACATCACAGCTGAGCTTCAGGTTTTGGAGTCTTGCCATCAAATTGGATAGCAGTGACGTGACTCTACCACCAACATGGACGTTTTATCTCCACAAATTACACGAGCCTGGAGGAGCTTCTACCATGTTGTGAAGTTACTAATGCTAATGGTTAGTTTCTACTAGTCGAGACCTTCTCTGCTGTTTCCTGGACACTAAACCAACAACAACCTTCCCCATTGTGAGTCAAGATGGGTGAGCCCATGAATGTTAAGTGACAGTGTGATGTAGATCTGTCAGGATTTTCAAATTCTAGAGTTTCACTATTTTCTATCAAAAGATAATGCAGAAGATAGGTGTAGGAGACTATTTTCATGCTAAGTCTGCATGAAAATCTCAGAGCAACTGATTATGATCAGCAATAATAATTTAAAAATGGGTATTCAGTTAGTTACACCTTTAAAAACCAATGAAAGGATACAGTGATCACTCAGAGGACATAGAAACACAATGAACTGGATAAATTACTTTTACTGCCAACCCTGGGTTGGGGGAGAGGTCTTTCCTCAAGTGGAAGAATATCTCGGGGTCTTGCTAAACAGTGAGGGAATGAGGGAGCAGAAGATCAACAGCCAGAGCAGGGCAGTGTCTGCAGTGGTGCAGACGTCAAGCACACACTCACAGTAAACTTACCGCACAGGGAAAGAGCAGACAGATTCTGCAGCATTCTGGAGAAGCATGTGGAGCAGAGTTTTTAACCTGAAGATGGAGATATTTACAGTTTTGGGCTGAAATATTAAATTTAAAGTAAGTTGCACTAAACTGCCACACTAATGTTTACACATGTCTACAGCTCTATTAGACAATCCTCTATACAGGTTATCAGCAAAAATAAATAAAAATGAGTTAATTTAGGTGTTACTCACTTCTAAGTGACTCTGCTAACCTCTGCCTTCTAGGATGTAAGACCTTTAATCTGAGGCTGAGGTCTTCCCTTGAGCAAGCAGGAGGCAAGCCGCTAGTGCTGGCGTCTCATCTGCTTCCTGTCAATCAAGAGGACATGCCCCTAGTAAATCACAATTTGGAGCTTAATTACATATAAATAGATGAGTTACAAAAAAATATTCACCCCCTCGTCCTCTGTTTAATTCTGCATAGAAAATGAGTCTGGTAACTCTCCCATGCAAATACAGCCCCTGACAATTCTAACCGAGCCAATCAGCACTGAGCAGAATATGTCTGCTTACTCACGGGTAGAGACGCACATGAAAGGCGGGACTAACTAGTTCAGAAATAACCAATTAGAAGAACTGTACCGTGCCACAGTGTGGTAAAAAAAAATGGCGCCTGGCGATAGTACAAACACCTTTCTTTAGATGAAAGGCATTTAGCGGCTCTTTTTGTTGTGGGAGAGTTACCAGATTCATTCTCTGTGTAAAATTAAACAGAGGAAGAGTCTGGCAAGCCAGGCTACCTCAAGACTTGTCATGGCTGTAAACTAGACCTACTAAACCTAAAATTGTGTTTTGTACCAGGCTGTAAACATGTTTATTTCTGCTGTGAATTTGGTATTTTTAACATGGGAGTCAATGGGATCTTGCTCCGTTCTGGAGCCAGCCCCTAGTGGATGAGGGTGGAACTAAAGTCTTTGTGATGTCTGCATTGTCTTCAGTTTTGGCATGATCAATGCTGGTTCTTTTTCATAAATAATATTATAATCAAGTTTTTTTTTTCAGAATAAGTGATATCTTGTAAAGACATATGGTTACGTTATTTTAAAGGCAGTTAAAAACTATTTGCATCTGTATATCAGAGTTTAGCTCAGGACATTGTCTGGCTTGTAACGCATTAAGATGTAATTACTGGTCACCAGAATTTTTGAGAAACGTATCATGTTTTTGTTTTTATGAATGTGATGCTGTGACAGAGAAAAGGCCTGAGTTCTTGTAGAAAGCTGCAGGATTGGACCACGAGTTAATGAAAGTGTCACTCAAAATGTGAGAGCATTTGGGGATTAGTACAGAGAGCAGATTAGGTGTTCTACATTTTTATGGAGGTTAAAAATATCTACAGATTGCTGCAAACACTCAGACTGAAGAACAAGAACAGCAAATAAATGTAAAATTGATCCTTCTTTTTAATTTTTTTACAGGATTTCTTGGTGATCTAGCTTAATTACAACCACTTGAAATCTTCAATCTATCTGCCTGAGTTGGATAAATACCACCACACTGAGATGCTAACAAAGAATTATGTATTGAGACTGTCAACACTAAATAAATAAAGACATTATATCATTTGCATTAATAATCATTATGTCTATTATTTTTATTTTTTTACATTTGGCAAATATTTTATCCAACTGACAAGATGAGAATTTAATCAAATCAGTTACTTATGAGGCTAAGAAGTAACTACTGACAGGGATGAACACTAGTCTGTGGTGACAGTGTAAAGAGAGGGCAGTAGAGTGTGAGAATGTGTGACTCAAAAGCTTCAAGACTGAGTGGTATCTAGAAAAATATATTATATTCAAGAAAAACTGTATTTTATTTGACCTTGTTGCCGAGTTGTGCATTTGGAGGAAGAATCATTTCATTTAATCTTTAAGAATCCTCTGAAGATTAGTAGCCCACTTACTACTGAATACATCCTCATTTCTCACTCAAGAAGGTCATTTATAATTTAGCAACTGCTAATTTGTCAAATGTAAAGCTGCAGAATGTGTGTGATATGGAGGCTTCCTCATTGGTTTAATACATTGACTCATCGCCATATAATTTAATACATTTTGACACAATGCAGGCACAACATTTAAAAGCAAACCACTTTAGAAATGTCACAATAATTACCTATGACTTTATTTGTTAGTTTATATATATATATAATTTTTCATTTATGTTTAAAATATATTATCAATAACCTTTAGATGGGCTGATTATTTCTTCAGTATTGGATCTGTGTCACAATCAAGGCACCTCTCATTGATCAACATCAAACTGGCTCAGTTCTCAGTCTCTGTTGTTGACCTACCATCTATAGTTTTATGATGGCCTTACCATAATTTGGCATTGATTCTTTACTTGGTCAGAAATTTGAGATTTCTAAGGAACCAGAATGCAGAACTAGACCAACAACCAGAGAAACTGTTTCAAACACTGTGTTTACATTAGTTTCACTTTGACTCTGTTTACTTTAGGAAAAACAAATCAACAAAACAAAACAACAAGAGCTTTTTCTTACTCATCCCCCCCCCCCCCCACCCCACCCCCCACCCCCCCCAGTCTGGATGATTTTAAATCTCTGGTTGTCTGGGCAATTCAGGACTGGACACCACACAGAGTTGTCTTCACAGTTGATGTTTTCATCTGAACTCAAAAACACCATTGTAATCACCAGCTGGTGTTCATGAACCTATGTCGTGTTTAACTCCCATTTGTGACAGTGTTTTAACAGACACTGCTTGGAGATCAATAAAGAACATTCACAAGCTCTTTAAACTGGTGCTTACAAAATGGACTGGCGATAACATGACAACCGTTTTTCAGGAGTAACAAGACGAATCCTGTGAAACGCCCCCCAGAGACTCAGAATAAACAGGCTTCATCATAAATGATTCAAATTGATTTCAGAGACAAAAAATCTCAATTTGTACGTTTTATAGTAAACTGTTTTTCTTGGTTTTGTGGTATTCTCAGTAAAAATAAAAAATACATGAAAAAAAAACTAATTCAATAATTAATATTCACTATAACAAAGTGTATGAAGTGAATGTTTGTTAAAACATCTCATATGTTGACATTTAATAAACTCTGCAAACCCCTGGACTGTTAAGAATTCATAAGGGCATGGCTGTGAGGGAAGGTGATTCTAATGAAAGAGGAGATACATGTACTCTGAGGAAACTCTACCCTGAAGGCACGTGTAATGGCACCAGTGAAAGCTGCAGAGCTCATCTGCAGGAATACCTTGGGTTAAATGCTTTTAGACCAGAGCATATAGGATGGGAATAAGGCTGCAGATTCCAGAGAGAATTGAGGAAATGGAAAAGGAACTGGGCAAGGGAAGGTTTTGACCATTTTATAGCATATGATTCTAGAGGTGGATCTGTTTTCTTTCCATTTTGATCAAACACATGCCTCTGTGTTGCACAGCATCTGATTTGTTTTGACTTCAGTCAGCATTTTGAAAAGCCAGTAAATGTTTCCTGTTCTCTTTCTTCAGTAAAAAAACATGCGTCTCCTGCAGGGACCTGGTTAGAGGCAACAATTGATCTCAATCAGAGGGATCAAAAGAAAGGCTGAAGATGGAGTACCGGTTACAAATTGATTAAGAGTAAGAGGATGGAAACTGTTACTGAGATAACACAAGAGCTAGAAAAGGGAGACAACACAGAATTGAATCAAATCCTACAAAGTCTGTTACA